TTTTGTAAACACATTTTCTTTTTTCCTTCTTCTTACTTTCCAATTTTCTGGAAAAGTAAAAGATATCTTTGTTAGTAAATAGACCTTAAATATCTTACTGTAACCGATATTGGTTAATAAATGTCATTAAATTCATTGAAAAAATGGTGATGTGGTATAAACTTAATGAATTTACTTCTTTCTATGTAAAAGAGATGATGTTATAAAAACACCTCTGTAGTCTGTATTCGAATTTATTGCAAATTAACGCGGTGGAAAAGTTAACAAAATAAGTATATCGCGTTTAGTGAAAACAATTTGCTAATAGCAATTAGCAACCAAATATTCTGATGATCTTATATCCTATACTTAAAAGCACTACATTGGAGAGAGAAATTTCTGCCGCCTATTCTTCACTTACGCCAGACCTAAATGAGTAATTTCACTCGCTCCCAGAAAATACACTAAAGTCGTTCAGTGGCACCAAATCCCAGAAAGCTTCCGCACCGTCGCACCTCATGGGCGAAACAGTGCCTTCTCGACCAAATAGCTTCGTCTTCTCCGGGGCGATACCTTCTCATCTCCTATTCTGATGCATTAGGTCAGATTCATCGCACAGAGCCTTTCATTTCCTCAATTTCTTCGTCCTTCTACGCTTTACTTCCTTCACCTTCATTCTTCAGCCCTAGGTTCATCAATCTTTTCCGAAAAAAGTCATCTACTTCACTCTGGGAAATCATCAGCCCGGAAATCGTCCTTAAAAGGAGATGGCTATTGCTTTCTTCAATTTCGTTATTCAGCCCTGGCTAGGTTCATCCACTTTGCGGAAATCATCTTGGCCGTAAAAGGAGTCAACCATTCCCTGGGAAATTATCTTTGGCCAAAATCCAGCCAATTCAAACTGATTTAGAGGTATACATGTTCTTCTTCCAACATTAGTTCTATTTTATGATTCTTAAAATTTCATTCAAATCTTCTATTTAGTCAACTCCAATTTCATATTTTTTTTATAAAAAAAATCACTCCGGCCAAATCGCTGCAACTCTTCTTCAAATAAAAAGATTTATTGTATATTTTGTTTTGGAAATTTGAGAATTAGATAGTTTGAAAGCAAGGTGTTTCAAATTTATTCATTGTTGATTCATGACTACATGTATTGGGAAGAATGGTTTGAAATATGATGTTAGAGTTTACTTAAATCTTTTTTTGATTGTTTATTGCCTAAGCTAGGTGCTGCTTTTATAAGTGAAGAGAAGGGTCATTGTTCATAAAACAATTCATATTGACTTCTATTAATGAGTAATGGCATACTGTTAATGGAAGATGCGGTCCATACAAAAAAACAGCAACTAAGCATTATTCATGTAGTATATAGTCATCATCATTGTGTAATACAAATAAATATATATAATTATGTTTCAATAGTTGCTAATGTAAAGCTTTTATTGTTGTGAAGCCTATGCAAGGATATCAGGAAGTGCTCGAAATAGATTGGTATTTGAAATCGAGTGTTGTCTATTAATTTGTAATATGTTGAGACATAATAATTAATAATATGATATTATTAGTAACTTCAGCTTTGATTATGTAAAAAGGGTCAATTTAAATCTTCTTAGTTGATATATGATGAAACAGGTTCATTTTCTGCAAATTGCAACTTGGTGCGTATCTGGAATGTTTTCAAGGATTCATCGTCATTGAAGTGCAATTAATTTAAGTTTAATGCTATGGTTTTATACTCATGACACTTGATCCTCTTACATTTTTTTTTCTTTTTTCAGTTGTAAACATTGTGGAATTCGCTCCAAATCTACACCTATGATACGCTGTGGGTCAGCTGGCCTGGAGTCACTTTGCAATGCGTGTGGACTTAAGTGGGCGAACAAGGTCTCACGTTTTGTTTATCTTCTTCATATTCTTTAGCATTATTTGCATTCACGAGAGGCATATTTTTATCTGCTTCTGACATTATAGTAACTAAGTATTTCATAAACACATTCTAAACCATCTAAGTTGAGCCTCTAAACCACGAAGTTAATTTATAGCCCAGATTTTTTCATCTAAAAAGCACTTCTCCTTGAAAATAAGTTATCATTGAGATACTCAACAAGGAGCAACCCAACGTTTTCTTTGGCTTACTTTTTTTTATAGTTTCTCTATGAGATTCTTTATCAATGACTACACACTTCTTAATTTTGGTTTAAGAAGCATTATTTTGGAATTACCTTTCTTATTGATAATTTTCTGCCTCCACTTTTCGTGTAAAGTTTGTTTTCCTCTTCATAGGTTAGGATGAGTTCCAATTCTCTGCCATGTAGATTTTGAATGAAACTCTATGGTGCCTTCTCAGCCCAAGTCTATCTGTTTTTGTTCAATACTAAACCTATTATGTGACTATGTTTCGTGCTGTAGGGGATTTTGAAAGACCCACCAAAATTTCAACCTACTGGAGTTCAAAACCACGTTGTCATCAAGACTGATGAACAACTTTATATGCCTTGGCTTATTTGCTGAAGTTTTATTTTGTATTTGCAAACTGCTTTTATAATCTGATGTTAGTTTTTTTTTAAATACAGATGAAACATTTTAGCATATAATAAGAGGGGAGAAGTTAAATAAAAAGCATACGTGATGTCTGACACTTATTGGTGAAACATACACTCATACCCATATAAATTTCAGAAGTTATGTATTGCAGATGTAATGTTGATAAAATACTTGGTTGACTTTCTTGAGATGACATACTCATTCCTGTAAATATTCTTACACTCTTGGTCTTCATGAGCATGAAAGTGTGTGTCATTCTTTACTAATATTTGCACTAGGAGTGCATACTATTTTAGTTGGTTAATCATCATTTATAAAACGATTAAACAAGATATGTGTGCTGGCTAATGAGAACTCTGCTTCTGACATTATATTGAGTAAATATTTCATAAATACACTCTAAAGCTTCTAAACCAGAAAGTTTTATAGCTCATCTTTTTTCATCTAAAAACACTTCTTGAAAATAAGTTATCATTGAGATACTCAACAAGGAGCAGCCCAACTTTTTCTTTGGCTTACTTTTTATATATAGTATCTCTATTAGTCTTTTTTGTTAATTGATGAGTTATAGGTCTATTATCTCTATAAGTCATCAAGTTTTTCCACTTTAAGGTATTCTTAAAGAATATTAGATGCACTCTGACTTTTCTCCTTTCTCCTATTAGAAAATATTAGAAATGGAATAAAAATTGGGTTTTCCCACATTTTTATTACTAATAATCTAAGAAAATGATCTTAATTACAATAATGAGTCTTTTGAATCTTTGCTGCAATATAAAACACATACGATGTTCAAGTCTACTTGATTACGGATATGTGGTTAATGCATCCTGGTCAACATGATAGAATCAAAAGAGTGATGTCAATTTTAAAAAGTCGTTTATTTTGCAATTCAAATGAAAAAAGAAAAAAGTAACAACTAATTATTCTATTGAAACATTGAAGGGCTTCTCATTTGGATGTTTTTTTATGAAAACTATAAGGGAAATGGGAAAACTGTCAATTGCGCCCTCCTACTATGCACGATCCGTCAATGGAGTCCCCGTACTTTGGAAACCCTCAATTGAACCCGCCAACAATGAAAATCCCGTCAAATAGGTCTACATAACCGGATGCTTCCCGGTTAGCCCGTTGCTCGCTCATGTGGCGCTGACGTGGACATCGTACATTGAGGGTTCCATTGCTGACATGGATTAAAATTTTTCACATCTCCATTCCCAAATAAATTACTCCTTACCTTTCGAAATTAGGAATCATATGCCCTAACCCCAAGTACGCCCGTCGTTCTTCTTCTCCATTTCTTGAGCTCGTGTCTATCAATGGCGTCGTCGTCTGCGTCAAGTGGTACCAAAGAACGTAAGAGCACAACTAATTACGAGCCTGCAGTGTATTGTTGGTGTGGATTGAAAGCCCCGTTGTGCGTCGGAAGGGAGAGTGGGAGACAATTCTATGGATGTCAAAAATGGCTAGTAAGTGTTGATATGAAATGTGCATTTCTAATTTCGTAGCTTTTGTGGATGTTTGATATGGATGTATGCAATTACATGAAAAGTGGCTGTCAATTGTAGTTATCTTTTGAAGTTATTAGTTATTGTGATTGGTTTTCAAATTATACAGGGTGATGGATGCGGCTACTTCTTATGGAAGGAAGACCTAGGAAGAGAAGACATAATTAGGCCTGCTCACAAGAAAGATAAGCTGGATGAAGTTAAGATCATTGTTAAAGGTCTTGACCAACGCATTAGCCATGTCCAAGAAGATGTAAAGTGTGTGAAAATCTTTCTTGAAAATGATGTGAAGCACAAAAAGAAGGCCAGGAAGTTCATTGTCATAGGGCTTGTTGTGGCCGTGTGCTTTGTAACAAAATTCTATGCAGGATAGGAATGCTTCAGTGTAATTGAATGCCTATGATGTAATATGTTCTCAGTTTGAAGTATTTAAGTAGTGTGTTGGTTTAGAAGTTATGTAGGATGCTTAGAACTCACTTTTATTTTGTAAACACCTTGTGTGGTCCTTATGGTTTGAAGTATTGTTTGAATATGAACCACCCTCGTTTTGTGTTGTATGTTTGGGGCACTACATTACTATACTATTTTTTGCACAATGAATGTAAATATTCTGAATTGGTCAGGCATACATTGTCATTAAGGTAATGGAAACACCATTAGACATTAAGAAGGTCAGGGTAATATAAGACCTTTCTCTTCTACAAGAAGGTCATTAAGCTGATGGGTTAATCTACAAGAACTGGTACCACATCTTTTGGTTCAGATTAGTCATCTAAGCAGGCTTTTTTCTTTGATATTCTTGTCTTGTTACCATAAAGGGGTGTACCCCATGTGCTTATCAACATCTGTCATTTAATACCCATGTGGCTTGTAAATTAACCCAAACATGAATGTCATTCAAGTAATTAATACATGTGGCTACAATGATTGTATATCACATGGTGCTGACAAAGTAAGCCATAAAGGTTGTTGTCCAAAAGTCATTATGCAGACTAGCTGTTCAATACAACATTCAGTTTCAACCACACAAATAGTATATGTCATGAACCAAAACAGGTCATCTGACCACACATACGGGCAAGGACATACACTTAAACCACACACATAAAACCAAGGGACCCTAAAACCAACATACACTTAAATCCATACTTCAAACCAACATAAGTTTTACACATTCATAAATTCAAGCAAATAAGAAGTTCCATTCTTCCACCAAAAGCCTACTTCCACACAACCAAGGGACCCTAAAACCAACATACACTTAAATCCATTCTTCAACCCCAACACCATCTTCATCTTCACACAGCACCCTTCTTCCTTCATCCAAGCAGAGTCTCTCCAGGTTGGCCAGGCTGCAGTTAACAAAGCAGTTGAAATCAGAAAGGTGGATCAGTTAACAAAGCATTATTCTTACATATGCAGATACAATATATTTGTGGAGTTCACTTACTTCCAATATGGTTTCACCCGTAGTTTCATCAAAATAAACTCCAAAGCCAGATTGCTCTCTGCTTCTACTGTTCCCCTTCTTACCCCTGCCTCCTCTAGGCCTTCTTCCTGTTGCACCTGCACCCACAATACCAGCACCTGCAGGAGTTGATGTGCTAGGAGTTGCTTCCATACCTGCCCCATCTGTTGCTGTGCACGATTTCTTGTTGTGTCCTTCTCCTTTGCATTTTGAACATGTCATGATGCGTCCTTTTCTTGGTAGTTGTGAGCCAGTAGGTGGACGTGGCTCTGTTTCTTCCCTTACTCACTTTTTCTTAGGTCTGCCACTCATTTTCTTGGGCAAAGGAGGTAATATCTCTTCAAATTGAGTTCTTGGCCATAACAACTCCCCATTAATTGGATGCAATGTGTACGAGTAGGTTTTCTTGTATACCTCCTTACTATAGCACCAATCTACATATGACTCAGCTTCCTCCCCTTTGTCATAGATTGCACAAATTACATGAGCACAAGGGATGCCACACAGATCCCACCTTCTACAAGAACATGATTTTTTCTGGAGACTCACTTTGAACTGAGCTCTTCCTTTCTTAATTTCATAACCGTCATCACCATTGAAGTCCACATTCCAGCCTTCACTTGCCACAATGTTAGCATTCAGCTTCTTCATGATTACTGGTCCAAAGGGTCCTGCATCATAAATAATTAAAAGCACATGTGAATACATAGGTTATCATATTTCATATTCAATTGCACCAAGTATTCTGCCTATCCTTTACCTGGCCACTTGAGAACATATTTCCTTTTCTTGGCTATTCTTTTCATGGTTGCCACTCTGATGTCCTCAAGCATTGGGATGAGAGGTTTGGATCTACATTTTAAGAGTGTGCTATTAAAGGCCTCTAAGAGATTGTTCTCAACTGTGTCACATTTCACTTCATCCCTAAAGAAAGCTTTGCACCACAACTTGAATGGATATTTGCGTAAGTCTTTACCAGCTTGAACATTAACCTTATCCAACTCTGCTAAGTTTGCTTCCAATTGACGTTCACATGTAGACTTTGCACACAGCCAAAACAGTTTTTTCAGATTCATGCCTCGATGAGTTTTGCTCCAATTTGCGTGAATATGCCTTGCACAGTTCCTGTGCTCAGCGTTTGGAAAAACTCTGCTCAATGCATTGGCTAGGCCCTAAACAAAAACAATGAAGATAAGAACAACAAACACAAGAGTTAATTGCATATTTTACTTGTAAATACAAAGAAAGAACAAAAATACATGATCTCACCTTCTGTTGATCACTGATGAAGGTCCACTCATCTGGGGCAGTAACATCCAAGTCCTTATACAACAAATCCAAAAACCAAGTCCAAGAATAGGTGTTCTCAATCTCAACCACGGCCCAAGCTATTGGATACATTTGGTTATTTGCGTCTCTACCTACAGCACTCAATATCTCTCCCTTCATTTGTCCTTTTAAAAAGCATCCATCCACACCAATTACCTTCCTACACCCTTCTAGAAAACCTTTCTTCACAGGCCCAAAGCAAACATATATGCGTTGGAAAACACTAGGTGCATCAGGAACCACTCTTACAGTTGATATGATAATAGTGCTGTTTGGAATGGATTGAAGACATTCCTCTGCATAGTTCCTAATTTTTTTGAACTGCTCCTTAAAAGCAGTTTCATTTTTCTCTTCAATACATTTCAAAGCTCTTGAGGCCATGCTTTCAGACACATTTAGTTTATACTCAGCCTTGATCAGCCTTTTTAATTCCACAGCACCTATAGAGGGATTCTCAGCCACTTTGTCTGAATACATGTCAGCCACCCATTTTGTGCAAACAATTCTAAGCCTATACCTCAAGTTACAATTATGTCCCTCCTTGAAAACTTTAACTTGAAAACACTGCAGTCTCTCAACCCATGAACCAGTTAAAGAAAAGGGGCACTTTTTTCCACATTTTACTCTCACTCTCCCAGGTTCATTTTTCTTAAAATACAAATCCCTTTTCTCAAAAACAACATATTTAATCACAGCTTTCTTAAATTGCTTTCCATCTTCAAAATACATCCCTACTTCAAATTTAGGGACCTCAGACTCAGGGTTAAATGACCCATACCTTTTGCTTGCCCTTTTAGATGTCCCATCATCATCCTCTTCCTCAGTCATGTAGCTATTGGGATTAGATGAGTCATACTCTGTGGAAACCTCCTCATTTTCACTTTCTTCAGCTCTGGTTCCCCCCATTTGTGTAGCAGTGTGATCAGATGCAACCTCATTATCAAATAATTCTTCATTTTCTGTCTCTTCATGTTCACTATCATCTGTCTCAGATGCGTCTTCCATCCATGAGTCATCTGTGTCAGCTTCTTCTGGCTTCCATGAATAATCTGTGTCTTCACCCTCTTTGTTTGTAGTTCCATCATACTCCCCACCTCTTTCTTCCACTTCATCTGTTTCATCATGACTATCATCATCTTCTACTTGACCATCATTGTGCAAAGATGCCTCTCCTCTTTCTGGCACTTCCATTCCAGCTGCTTCATTAGGTACTTGACCTTCTACATTCACATCTGTGTCAACCTCCATCTCCTTGTCAGGCATGTCAGGTTGTTGCTCCACTGATATGTTTGGTTCAAATGCTTCAGGTGCAGGCAGAAGTTCAACCAATTCCACCTCATCTAACCCATGCTCCACAAATATGTCACACTTACCACAACTAGTAGCCAGACGTATCAAATCTAGGGTTGACTTATCATCAAACAGCTCTCTTAAAGATTTCATACACTGGCTAGGTTTTTTGTAATACAAAGCCTTAATGTTACCATAGCTTCCTGTTTTTAAGCACTTCATTAAATGAGGATAGCAAATCAAATCTGGGTCTATGCTTAGCACATCAACTTGACCACCAACGTACATTGATTCAGGAACACACTTAAAATTGCCTCCATGGTGAATTATAAGTTCCACCTTGTCGAACATGCTGTACATTTGAAAAGATTCAAATCAGACTAAGGGCTAATGGAAGCAGTAAGAAACAGTACAAGTGAAATCATAACAAAGTTAAACTGAAGCAACAAGGGCAAGTGACCATCACATAACATAATCAAGTCATATAAAAGAAACAATACATTTCTGTTCAGCAAAACGCCCTTACTCATGCAACAACGCACACAAAACATCATCCTAATGTGAATGCAATGTCACTGCGACAGACAGACACAAAAGCACTAACCTGGAGTATCTGTTATTCAAGTCGACGAAGAAAAATGGATGAACAGCCTTGAAGAGCGCTTAGATGGTTTGCTTCTGATACACATGCGAATTCGAATTAAGGAAGGAATTAGGGCTACAACGGTGTTATTTGGGAAAGGATAGAGTCATAAATTGATGTGAAAAATTTTAATCCATGTCAGCAATGGAACCCTCAATGTACGATGTCCACGTCAGCGCCACATGAGCGAGCAACGGGCTAACCGGGAAGCATCCGGTTATGTAGACCTATTTGACGGGATTTTCATTGTTGGCGGGTTCAATTGAGGGTTTCCAAAGTACGGGGACTCCATTGACGGATCGTGCATAGTAGGAGGGCGCAATTGACAGTTTTCCCAAACTATAATAATAGAGTATGTATGTGTGTGTATGTGTGTAATGATGAGACTATTGATTAATTAGGTAGTTTATTAGCGATGAGTTTTTGCCTGCAGTCTAATGTTTGCAGGAATCACAAACATTATAAATTAATTACTTTAATAGGAAAATAACAAAGTTATTGAGGTAATAAAAAAAGAAAGTTTGCAAAATCCAATAAGACAAAGAGAGTATAATTTTGCTAAATATTTGTTCTTCACCGTTTTCACTACTCTGGATTTTGGTTTTGACCTCAAGCTCTACTTTCTTTTACCTGGGGTTCGACCTGTAATGTCATAACAATTCAGCGTTCTCTTTAAATTAATAAAACCATGCGACATAGGATTGGTACACCGTACGATGGTGTAGCGATCTCACAGTATAATTTGTGCACAATGACCATTAATAAGAAAATTGATGATCAATCTTTGGAAAAGGTTGTCATCTTCCACCATGATGTACTCTTACCCTTTTTAATGCATGAATTGTTGTATGTGGCGAAGGTCTCGAGAGTAACAATTAACAATTAACGGTTTAATGGACTTACATGTACATCTTTTTCATCACATCATTTTTCCATTTAATTTTTACTATGTGCTACCTCCGTCCCACTATGTTTGGGACAAAAATGGGTGACACAACTTTTAAGAAAAAGTGATATTGTGCGGTTGGTATTGAATTGATAAAGTGTGAATAAAATAAGAATGAATTGTAACCACTCAAATATTACCAAATATGGTATGAGACAAACTTAATAGGACGGACGAAAAAGGTAAAATGGGACAAAGTTAGGGGGACGGAGGGAGTATTTCTTTAGTTTGCTTTTATATACTTGCGTCGAAACTATTACATAGGTACTTCACTCCCGTGCAACGCACGGGTGGAGGAACTAGTTATTCTATTATTAAGGCAGTAATCCTATAGATTATCACCTAAGACATTTATTGAACGAACTGTGCTCCACAGTTCACATTGTACGGAATATATTGAAACACGGATCACAGATCATAATACAAAATATGGTACATGAAAAAAAAAAGTGGCGTTTGCTCCCAAATCCCAATAGAGAAAAACAAGAACATACAAGAAAAGTGAGACACAAGAAATATAAAATTACTTCAATACTCTGTACCGATATGACACTAACACACCAATAAAAGAGTCAATTTGTTCATCATAATCATTTTCATATGCAATACTTAAAACTTACCCCCCTCCCCCCCCTTCCCCTCAGAAATTCAAAGTGAGGACATTAATAAGAAAATTCAAAAATTCAAATTCTAATCTTAATTTACAAGAGTTTTTCTTAACAAAAACAAAAATTCAAACGTAACTAGGGGTGGACTCAGTCCTAGTCGAAAATCAGACAGTCCAAGGACCTGGACCTAGACAGAGTCCACCCCTACTTGGACAAGAACATGAACCCTAGTTTTTTCAAATATGATTACATGATTTTTATGTACTACCTCCGTAATACATATATCTTTCCGCTTAAAAGTAGGTGAGATTAAGAATAGTGAGAGAATATAAATTATCGAGAGTGTGATGGGAAGATAATCAAATATTGTGATAAAATGAAGGATAAATCCAAAAAAGTAGTTGTACTACAGTACTAGTATATTATTTTCAAAATTATTGAGGGTATGATGAGAAAATTTAGAAATGAGAAGATATGAGTGTTACAGCCAAAAAAGAAAAGTGAGAAAATATGAATATTACAGAGGGAGTATATAAAAGGGGGAAATTGTCAACTTGATTCTCGTACTATCACGAAAACTTCAATTAGACTCTCATGCTTTAAAAAAAAGCAAACAATTCCCCGAATTTGAAAAACGTTCAATTGAGTCAATTAACATGTTACTTGCATGTCAGCAGATCACCCACTGACGTCGCACACAAATGGCGGTCCACACTCCACGAGTGTGCCATGTCACCACGAAATAGCTGACTGGGCTTCAACGTGTGCGCCACATTACCAAAGTCGTTGCTGACTGAGATGTCAAATGTATGCCACGTCAGTAGGTCACTTGCTCACGTGGCAAGTAACCTGCTAATAGACTCAATTGAACGTTTTTTCATAGTTTGAAGATTTATTGCTTTTTTAAAAACATACGAGGACTTAATTGACGTTTTCGTGATAGTACAAGGACCAAATTGATAGTTTTCCCATGTAAAAACAACGAATAAAATAAGTGAAGAAGAATATAGCCTGACAAATGAGTAGACAAATTAGGATGATTGAAGTATTGCATTACTTACATTATTATTTACTACATACATTCCATGCAACAGGTGAGTGAAATCTCTAGACCACCACACATAGATGCCATACGGCCATACCTAAGCATGATGTTTCAACTGGGAAAACAAAAAAAAGGTGGTGAACGATTCTCATACCTTTCTTCATTTCATATTTCAATAAAAATAACATGCTCTATCCTTTCCAAAATCAGAGTATGATCACCCAGTGGCAATATTCGGTTTCCCTCCTCATTCACAATGCTGAGATGCTCGCACGTATTTATAAAGATACTTGTTTCAGCAGTTTCTTTGGCAGAAACATGGACTCGATCGAACCCAATCAATTGTTTCTGTGGAGCTCTTTCATAAGACCCCGGCACTCGAGAAAATAACATCACAATTATGCTTCCGTCCAAGCCTCCATCATTTGTCAATGTAATCTGAACTGAGAATCCAAGCATTTCACAATTTGACACATCATCCACACGGACATAGTGCAGTGGTTTATTGCCCCCACGGTTCAGAACGCTCCTTCTCAAATCCATCTTACTAGATCCTGATAATAAGCTCAATCTGCTGGGTGCTGATAAGAAATCAAGAGTAAAATCTGTATAGCTTAGTCCATGTCCGAATTCATAAACTGTGTGTCCAGTGTAAAACCGATATGTTCTTCCTGGATAGCCACGTGAAGGATCAGCCCTCAGGCTCATGTCATTCATTGCCACATTTGTGAATGACTCTGGATACCAAGTGATAGGCAGTCTCCCAGCTGTTTATGAATTTGGGAATCCATTAGTTTAAAGGTGCAGAAACACTCAGAGAAAATTATAGAATATTCTGATACTAAGAAGCTTGGAAACTTTGTGTAGAGCTCAGATTTAGCCTATTCAAACACTCGGAAACATACTGGAAACTGAAATTCGTTTGCTTAATTAAAAAATGGGAACCCAATGGAGCCAAAGACTCACAATTTTTAGCTTGGAAATAGGGTGTAATAAAGCAAAATTGCTCACTAAAGTGCATGCGCTTCTTTGTTATGAAGCAGTGCAGTCCATCCAATTTTTGACGCGATTTTCACAATGGGTCATCGAGAAACACTCTTTGTGCTTTAATACAGGGTAAGAATGCGTACATCCGATCTCCCTTATCCCACCGTAGGTGAGAACCTTTGCGGCACTGGGATAATGATGATGATGATGATGAATTAAGAAATGGGAACCCCGCTCTCCTAATCAATCAGCGTTTCAGAAATGTTGAGTTTATGTACTTTTACCTTTTTAATGCAACTTCTTGATGGAACTTAATTTTTTTATGGAATTTCTTAGACTAATGTTGAACTTGTTCATAATAACAGTCATTGTGACATTTCACAGCACAATGCATTTCTAAAAACTTATTGAAGTTATATTTGATTACATACAAATATGTGAATAGTCTACATTTGATAATGCCGACTATTTTTATCTTTGATTATATAGCAAAGTTTATATAGAAAAAATACTACCACCATCCCCATTATCTTTGGCCTTTGCGACATGAGTAAGTGCACACATATTAAGAGAAGTGGAATTTATGTGGTTAGTATTAAACTTGTAATTTCCATCATTTGCAATGGAGCCAAAGATTCATTATTTTTTGGCTTGAAAATATGATGGAATAAAGCAAAATGGCTCACTTAACTGTCTGCACTTCTTTGTTATGAAGCAGCAGTCAGTCCATACAATTTTGGACGCGATTTTCACTATGGGTCATCCGGAAACAGTCTCTCTGTGCTTTAGTGCAGGGGTAAGACTGCGTACATCCGACCCCCTTATCCCACCGTAGGTGAGAGCCTTTGCGGCACTGGGGTAAATGAAAATGATGAAATGAGTATTAAACTTGTAATTTGTAAAGTATGAATGAATCTTAAGTCTTAACTTTTAACCACACAAATATTATCAAATATAGAATGTGATTGACTCAATGGGACGGCCGAAGAAGGAAATATGAGAGAGAAATACTGAGATGGAATATATCCAAAGTACTTTTGTAATCATGATGCATAACGAATCATAATTAGACTTGACCAACAAAGAAATTGATATCTGATTTGTCTTATACTACGTAGTATTATTATAAGATGTAGGGGACTAAGAAATGGTTATCATTTTCATTTTCATTTTCATTTACCCCAGTGCCGCAAAGGCTCCCACCTACGGTGGGGTTAGGGGGGGTCGGATGTACGCAGTCTTACCCCTGTACTAAAGCACAAAGAGACTGTTTCCGGATGACCCGTAGTGAAAATCGCGTCCAAAATTGCATGGACTGACTGCTACTTCATAACAAAGAAGCGCAGACAGTTTAGTGAGCCATTTGGCTTTATTCCATCATATTCTCAAGCCAAAAAATAATGAATCTTTGGCTCCATTGCAAATGGTTATATATGAAGTAAACTAACCTGGATTGTAGTCTCCGAAAATGATATCTGACAGCGCTTTACTACCTTCTTCTCCAGGGTACCCAATCCAAAGAACACTGGCAACTCTCGGGTCTTCCTTGGCGAATGTGATATCAAGGGGTCCGCCACCTGTAAGGACCAAAACTAGAGGCTTTTTACTGGCAGCAGCGACCTTGTTAACTAGTGCCATTTGATTGCCTGGCAATAGAAGACTATAGCGGTCACAATCTTCAGTTTCTTGAGATAG